ACCTAACCCTTAACTGTACCCCACAAAACCATAATAAAAAATATTGATAAAAAAAAAGAATTGATAAATTGGACCCTCAAATCAAAATTTTTGAAGTCTATTCAAAATAAGACACTATTTTAAAAATACAAAGATAAGCCACAGACCTAGAGGAAATAATTGAAAATCATGTATCCAATTAAGAAACCATAGCTAAAATATGTAAACAAATCATACAATTCATTAAGAGCAAGAAAATTTACATTTTATTTTATAAAAGATCTGAATAGGCACTTCACCAAATAAGATACATATAGAATATGAAGCATGAAAATATGTTCAATGTTTTTATCTTCTAGGGAAGTGCAACTAAAACCAATATAAGATAACACTACACGCTGACTAAAATGACTCACACTGAACATACTGATAATGCCAAGTTTTGGCACTGATGGAGAACAACCAGGACTAACTACATAATTTCCAGGAACCAATGCAAAATGGAAATGTAAGTTCCCTTGTTTATAAATCAGGGGGAAAGTCCAGTTAATGATATTAAAATAAAACATTCTTTCCTTTCTTTGGCAGCATCTCAGCTTGTCATGGTGTTATTTGTTTACTGTCTGATGTTATTTTAAATAAGGAAAAATTTAAATTTTAAATTATTAGCATGAATTCTGTCATTCATCTTTATACTGTACAATGTGAGTTTTAAATGCAAGTATCAAAGCATATTAACTTTTTTAAATGTTATTTTCAATTGATAAATAATAATTGCATATATTTGTGAGTTACAATGTGATGTTTTGACATATGTGTACATTGTGATATGTGCAAAATCAAACTAATTAACATATCCATCACTCACATACTTATCTTTCTTGAATGCTAAAATGATGAGAATGTTAAAATATACTCTAACAACTTTGAAATATACAATATTAAAACAACCATATTTTCTTTATCCATTCATCCACTGATAGACACTTAAGTTGCTTCCGTATTTTGGATATTACAAATAATGTTGCAATGAACATGGGAATGCAGACATTCCTTCAACCTACTGATTTCAATCCTTTTAAATATATACTCAGATGTGAGATTGTTAGATCATATGATATTCTATTTGTAGTATTTTGAAGAACCTCTATACTGTTTTCCATAATAATTGTATTACTTACGTCCTCAGCAACAGTGTACAAGTGTTTCATTTTTTTCCTCATGCTGGTCAACACATGTATTTTTGTCTTTTTGATAACTGCAATTCTAATAGGTGTGAGGTACTATCTTAATTTATATTTCTCTAATTATTAGTGAAGTTAAGTAATTTTTCATATGTCTGTTGATTATATGTATGATTTCCTTGGAAAAAATATCTACTCAGGTCCTTTGCCTATTTTTCAACTGGCTTCATCTTTCTTGCTGTTGACATGGGGTTTTTTTTAGTTCCATATATATATTTGGATATTAAGTCCATATCACATGTATGGTTTGTAAATATTTTCTCCCAGTCTTTGGTTGCCTCTTTACTCTGTCAATTGTTTCCTTTGATGTGCAGAAGCATTCTCGGGTAATGTAATACTATTTTTGCTTTTGTTGTCTATGCTTTGAGGGCCATATCTAAAATTAAAAAAAAAAATCATTGCCTAGACCAATGTCAAATAGCTTTTCCCTTATGTTTTCTTCTAGTCATTTTAGAGTTTCAGATCATGTTTGTGTTTTTAAACCATTTTGAGCTGATTTTGTATGCAGTGTGATAAGAGTCTAATTTTGATCTTCTAAATGTGAATAACCAGTTTTCTGAACAGACTGTCCTTTCCCCAATTATTGAACAGACTGTCCTTTCCCCCATTTATTGAACTTATTGTATTTTCCTCCATTGTGTATTCTTGACACCTTCACCAAAGATCAATTGACCTTAAATGCGTAGGTTTTTTTCTGGGCTCTTTATCCTGTTCCATTGATCAATGTATCTGTTTCCATGCCAACACCATGCTGTTGTGATTACTATATGTCTGTAATAGATCTTGAAAGTGGGTAGCATGAAGCCTCTCGTTTTGTTCTTTCTGATCAAGATTACTTTGGCTAATCGGTGTTTTTTGTGGTTCCACACAAATTACAGGATTTTTATTTTATTGCTGTGAAAAATGACATTGGAATTTAAATAGAAATTACATTGAATCTGTAGATCACTTTAAGTAGTAGAATATCATAAGATGAATTATTCTTTAATGTATTTCATCAATGTTTTATATTTTTCAGTACACAAATATTTCAGAATCACGAAAATGGCATAATTCTTATCGCTTGTCTCTAGAAGGTGCTTGCAAACTGGAAAAAAAAATAGTTACGCAGATTCTAGAAATAGTAAGGAGAAAGAGTTCCCCCAGGCATGGAAAGGCCTGAGAGAGTTACTAGGTCCTATTTTGATAATATGTGTTTCCTTTGTATTCAAAAAGAAGATGTGTTCTGCAGTTGCTTAATGTCGTGTTGTATAATTTCCATTTACTTATTATAGAGACGAGGCCTTGTCAAGTTGTCCAGGCTGGTTGAACCCCTGGACTCAGGCTATCCTCTTGCCTCCATCCCCACAAAGTGTTAGGGTTACAGGCGTGAGCCACCATGCCTGGCTATTTACTTAAGTTAGACGAATAAAAATACAAATGTCCCTCTGAAGAAGTGAAAGATCTCACAAATGAAAACTATAAAACATTGATGCAAGAAATTGAAAAGAATACAAAAGTGGAAAGATATCCCATGTTCATGGATTTAAAGAATCGATGTTGTTAAAAATGTTCATACTACCCAAAACAACCTACAGGTTCAATGCAATCCCTATCAAAATGCCAATAACATTCCACATAAAAATAGAAAAATAATCTTAAAATGTATGTGGAACCACAAAAGATGCAAAGCCATCCCGAACAACAAGAACAAAACTGAAGAAGTCACATGACCTTACTTCAAATCACACTGCAAAGCTATAGTAAACAAACCAGCATGGTACTATCATGAAACAGACATAGACACCATTGGGGCAGAATAGAGAACCCAGAAATAAATCCACACATTTACAGTCAGCTCATTTTCAATAAAACCACCCAAGAACATACACTAGGAAAAGGACAGTCTCTTCAATAAAAAGTGTTGAGAATACTGGATATCCAAAATGCAGAAGGATGAAACTAGACTACTATCTCTCACCAAATACAAAAGTAAAATTAGGCTAGGCTCGATGGCTCAGCCTGTAATCCCAGCACTTTGAAAGGCTGAGGTGAGTGGATTGCCTGAGCTCACGGGTTTGAGACCAGCCATGGAACTTGGCAAGACCTTGTCTCTACAATAAATAAAATAAATTAGCCGGGCATGGTAGTGCATGCCTGTAATTCTGGCTGCTTGGAAGGCTGAGGCAGAAGGATGGTTGGAGCCCAGCAGGTCGATGCTGGGGTGGCCATGAGCATGCCACTGCACTACAGGCTTGGCGACAGAGTGAGACTCCAACTCAAAAAAAAAGAAATTAAATTAAAATGGATTAAAGAATTAAATCTGAGACCTGAAGCTATTAAGCTACTAGAACATTGAGGAAACACATCAGGACATTGGTCTGAACAAAGATTTTTTAAGAAAAACCTCAAAAGCACAAGCAGCCAAAGCAGACGTAGATATATGGGATCACATCAAACTAAAAAGCTTCTGCACAGCAAAGGAAGAAATCAACCAAATGAAGATATAATACACAGAACAGAGAAAATATTTTCAAACTACTCATATGACAAGAGATTAATAACCAGAATATATGAGGAGTTCAAAGAACTCTATAACAAAAAAAATAATAATAATTGATTTTGAAATGGGAAAAGATCTGAATAGACATTTCTCAAAAGAAGACATCAAATGACAAATGACCAACAAGCATGTGAAAGCATGCTCATATCACTAATTATCAGAGAAATGCAAATAAGAACTACAAGAAGATACAATCTCACTCCAGTTAAAATGTTTTTTATTCAAAAGACAGATAACAACAATGCTGGTGTGGTTGTGGAGAAAGGGGAAACCTCATACACCGTTGGTAGGAATGTAAATTAGTACTGCCATTATGAAGAACAGCATGAAGTTTCTTCAAAAAACTAAAAACATAACCATCATTTCATCCAGGAATCTACCTAGGTATATATCCAAAAGAAAGGAAATCAGCATACACATTGAAGAAATACCTGCATTCTCATGTTTATTGCAATACTGTTCACAATAGCCAAGTTACAGACTAAACCTAAGTGTCTGTCAATGGATTAATCAATAAAGAAAATATTATCTATATTCACTATGGAATATTATGCAGTCATAAAAAAGAAAGAATTTTTTTTTCAACAACATGGATGGAACTGTAAGACATTATGTTAAGTAAAATAAGCCAGGCACAGAAAGACAAATATTGCATGTTGTCACTACATGTGGGAGCTTTAAAAAAAAAATTGAACTCATGCAGATAGAGAATAGAATGATAGTTACTAAGAGCTGGGAAAGGTCAGGGAGTGGTAAAGAGGGAATAGTTAATGGCTACAAAGATACATTTAGATAGGAGGAATACAGTCCAGTGTTTGGTAGCACAATAGGATGACAACAGTTAACAATAATTTATTGTATATTTCAAAATAACTAAGAGTAAAATCTTTCATTACACAAAGAAATGATAAATGCTTGTGGTAATTAATATTTCAATATATGATTTGATCATTATACATTATATACTTGAATACAAATATTACATATACATAATAGATATGTACAACTATTATATGTACAACTATTATGCATTTATAAATAAAACCAAAACAATTTACAAAAAGAAATGACAATATTTTTAATGAAAAAGAAAGAAGGAAAGAGGAAAAAAGAAATAAAGAAGTAAGAAATAGGTATTTAATTATAAAAATTCTTACACTGCTTTTGGTGTCATTATGCAAACATCTCCTGAACAATGACAGATGTCAGTGTTGTCATAAATTAATCCTAGATTAAGGCCAAGCAACTGGACAATAATGACAGAATATGACTCCAAGGACAAACCCTCTGTATACTAAATATAAAGAAAAGGAAAAGAAAAAGAGTTAGCAATTATAATCAGTTATAAAATTAATATTTATTGTAATAAAAATTGGTGTATACAACATCAGTAAGGGTACCTGATCTCAAACCAGGCAAAGTAGGAACCAAAGAGAGACCCAAACTTTATCCTATGGTGTCCCTTGTATACCTGAATTGTACCCCATATCTTTAAAATAAAATATTTTTTAAATGTTTTAAAAACATAACTTATATGTATAGTTGAAATAGGCTTCCCAACTTGCATTTCTGAATAATAAAGATTTACTCATCTTAAAAAGAAATTGGTGTAAAAAGTCACTTTTCAGATTTATTAGTGCGTTCAAGATACCTATGTGGATGCTGCTGTAATAGAGTTATATAAACTTTTTGATCTTAGACTTATTAAACTTGAATGAGTCTATATAATAGTTGTATTTCATTTCAAAATACTATTACTTAATGACAATATCAGCTATCTTAGCAAATCTAACAAACAACACAACTTATTGCTTTTTTGACTTATTTTTTTAAAAACGCCTTTGTTCTATTTTTTAAGACAATCAATTCTATATTCCTTCTGCAGTATGCAGTCTCTAAAATGGGCCCCAATTATAGTTGTCTCCTTGTATTCATGTGCTTGAGTAATCCCACTCCACTGAATGTAAACTGAACTTATTGGCTTGTTTTTAATTAATCAAATATATCAGAAGCAATGACTTGTTACTTTCAGTAAGTTATAAAAAGACTGGCTTCTTAAATTTCTGTCTTGTTCTTCTTCCTCACTCTGGGGGGAGCCAGCCGCCACGTGGTGAGGTAGACTTGTAGAGAAGCCCACATGAGTCGCTTGGAAATAGGTTTACTGAGGTCTGCCAACATTCAAATGACTAAGCCTTGAAAGCATATCTTTCCCCCAGTAAAACCTTGAGATAACAGCAATTCTTGCTAACATCTTGATTGCAGCCTTTGTTGGAAACCCAGAATCTGAGTCACCCACTAAACTGCTCCTAGATTCCTGACCTACAGAACTGCGCTGTTTTCATCTGCTAAGTTTTGGTATACTCTGTTACGTAACAATAGATAACTAACACATCCTCAGTAGGTACTGTTCTCCTCTATATCATTTTCAATGTTACGTTTTCCTTTAAGAGTCTTGCTCAGAAGACAATTAAAGAGTGCAGTTATATAAGTGAGGGAGAACTGCTATCTTTCTCTATTTCTAAATAATTTCAAATTATTTTGGAGTAAGGGAAAAACTGAAAACATTCAAACTAACTCAGCTTTTGTAATCTTTATTTATTCACATGCCATTACTTTGTATATTTAAGCACTTCAACCAAAGATCAATTAATTCCTCTACCAGGTAGCAAAATATATGGGCCACTGAACATCTCCATAATAGAAAAAAAATCATAGAAGAAAGTTAATTAATCTTGTCATATAAAAACACAGTTGGTTTCTGATGGACCAGGAGTAAGAGCGCAATGACACTGAGGGAGTGGCAAGAGCAATTCAAACAAGAAGATGGCCACAATCCATGGAGATGTTTCCAGATTTTTGATTCTTCATATTTCCCTGGGTTGCTTAATGCTCGACTATAGTCATTATCATGCAGAAAAACAGGATGTCCAACACACAATAAATGAATAAATGAATGAACAATAAATGAATGAATCAAACATTTCAGTTCATCTTCAAAAAAGAGAGTAATTTTATTTCCGGGAAGACTGGTTGAACCCAAGCAATCCCTCCTTCCCCTAACCCAGTTTCTGATGAAAAGCAATTCTGAGAACAGAAGTAATGCAAATATTGTAGAAAAGTCCAGATTTTTACCAAACTCTGGCATATCCCCATTCCCACTACTATCCAGAAGAAATGGTTGGAATCATGTTTTCATTGGTACAAAATAACAGCCAAGTTAACTGATATCCCAAGGAATCTCATAAGAAAAAAATGAGACATCAGATGAGTAAAAGTACCATAAAAAATAAATTCCAAACCCACCATTTTATATGCTTCTACATGATCATGAAATGAAGATTCTGCAAACTATGTTTTCCATGATTTGTGTTACCAAACTGTCTGCAAGTAGGAAGGAAGAAATGGCTTTCTTTTTCTCTTTTTATGCTATTCTATCAGCATAACCCAACCAGCAGCATTTTGCCCCTAAAGTGAAAGTTCATTGCAGTATTTACAGCTTACTCCAGGATCGATAGTTTCCCAACTCCAGCTTCTTCCACTACTGTCAGAAATAGTCCAATTATGACTCTTGAAGGTAGCAGCAGCTGGAGGCAGTGTTCCTTTTTCCACAGGTCTAAATGCCAAATTTGCAGTCTTCTCTTATGATCCCAATTTTGATAACCCTAACTCTTTTTTTAGTCCTAGGGTGGTAGATGAATCATCATTTCATCACTCTGTGTTTGTTTGTTTGTTTGCTTGTTTGTTTGTTTGTTTGTTTGTTTGTTTTGGGGGGATTTGTCTATCGTTTTCATCATTCTGTTAACTTTGACTTTTTTCAAAATGCTTATATAATGAATTCTCGTTGAAATACCTAGTGTAGCATCTGTTTTCCTGACTAGCCCTGACTTATATAACACTTGATAAGTGAAAGTACATAACATACATACAGAAATCAGAATGAATAAACCAGAATGACAAAGGGACACATGTTTAATAAATAATAAAATTTGCAGGAAAAAATTAAAAAGAAATTAGGAAGACAGTAACATCAGCAAGATGCCAACTTGAAACCCCTACCACTTATCTGCCCTACAAAGACAGCCAAACAATGCAAAAGCAACTACATTTTGATGCGGATAACTAAATGAGAGTGCCAAACACATCAGAGGAGCAACAGAAAACTTGTGGAGCACAGAAACCTCCAGACAGCCAGACACATATAAAAATAATCAACAGCTACATTAAAAGGTACTCAACATGACTAATCATCCAGGAAATGCAAATCAAAACCACTATGAGATACCACCTCACACCTATTAGGAAAACTATTATAAAAATGATTTTTTTTTAAAGTGTTGGTGAAAATGTGGGGTAAAGGCGACCCATGTACCCCATTCCTAGTAATGTTGAATGATAAAACTATCATGAAAACCAATATGAATGTTCCCACAGAAAATGCATAAATGAAATGAATTAAAAACAAAAATACCATATGATCCAGTAAACTTGCTATATACTCAGAGGAAATGCAATCACCACATCATAAAGATGCCTGCACCCTCACATTTATTGTAGCACTATTCACAATATCTATAATATGGAAACAATCTACGTGTCCCTCAATGAACTAATAAAGAAACTGTGATATATTATAAATATATACACAGAGAGACAAAAAAGTATACACATTTTAAGAAAGAAAAAAATTGTATTAAAATTGTAATGCTCAGTATATACTGATAACAAAAGATGAATGCAAGTAACATTTGACTTCTGCAATTACAAGAAGTGTTCAAATTACCATCAGTGTCCAGACACTTCTAATTATGGTGAACTACTGCTTGAGCAACGTTGCCTAAAGTGTCCACTTGTATCACTGTGCATATCATTTCAATTTCTTCCCAAAGTACAGTTTTCTATGGTACACCACATCCCTTAAGGTCATCCATAGGTAGAAGTCAGAGGGTGTCAAGTCAAATACCACTTCAAAATGGTCTTGTACTCCTTGAATGAAAACCGTGTTTCCACCATTCTCTTTGACTGTCCTGCCTGTCAGATGGTGATGCCAGCATTCATTTAATTAGTATCATCTTTTGAGCTAATGTCGTGCTGTACATTGCTACCATAATTCAATTCAGCTTCAAAAAGTAATACATAGATAACATATCTTAAGATGTATATACTTAAAAATAAAATAAAATGTGTATATTTTTGTCTCACACACACACACACACACACACACACATACACACAGGGGAGGAGAATTTGGAGGAGGATAAAAATGAATACATAGCACCAAATTGTTCACATTTGACAAAAACTATACATTCATTAATCCAAGAATCTCAAAAGACAAACAAGATAAAACCAGAGGAGAAGACACTTAGGAATAATATAACCATGCTGTTGAAAACCAAAGAGAAAATAAACCTTTAAAAGCAGCCAAAAAATAAAATAAGACATTGAAACAAGAGAAGGATGTTTCTCACCAGAAACAGTGCAGACAAAAAGACAGTAAAAGTGGCATCTTAAAATTAGTAAAAGAATAATTTGTCAAACTAAAAGTCTATATTATATTAAAGATAAATGAACAACCGAGTGTGATGGCGTGCAACTGCAGTTCCAGCTACTTGGAAGGCTGAGGCGGAAGGATCACCTGAGCCCAGCAGGCCAAGACTGCAGTGGCCATGATCTTGCTGTGAACTTAGTGAGACTCTAACTCAAAAAACAAAAAAAGGCAAATGGAATACATTGTAAAAGGAAAGGAAGTAAAATACATTGTCAGATAAACTAAAGCTGAAAATGAAAATGAAAAACATTGAATTATGTTAGCAGACTTGCACTATAAAAATAGTTAAGCAAGTTCTTCAGAATGAAAACAAACGTTTCCAGGTGGAAAGTGGGGTAGGTACAAAAGAGTGAATGTTGCATATTGTAAATTAGTAGGTAAAGAGGCATTTCATAATTTAAAGAAAAAAGAGTTAAATTATGTCATGGAGATTATAAAATTTGTGGTTGTTATTTAAACCCTCAACATTTTTGGCTTTGCAAATTGATGTTTCATTTATTGAATATACATCCACACATCCATCTATCCATTTATCCATCCATAAATGCATTTCTAAACATTTAGAAATTACTAATTTGAAATCATATCTTATCATTTTATGTATTTACTTTGATTTATTGATTGATTTTTGAGTCAGAGCCTTACTCCGTCACCCAGCCTGGAGTGCAATGGCACGCTCACAGCCACCCCAGCACTGACTTGCTGAGTTCAGGCAATCCTTCCATCTCAGCCTTCCAAATGGCCAG